TGACAAAAACCTGAATCTTATGAATATCAATCCAGAATTTAATAAATCTATCCACGATAGCTTTATTGACAATGAGACTAGTAGTACAAAATATCTATTTCATACTAAAATATGCCACGTTAATGTTCAGGGATTTTTGAATAATTTGAACTCGATAGAATGTTTTGTAAAAACTCACAATATTGACATAGCATGCCTATCTGAACATTGGATCAGTCACTTTAGAGGCACTCTGAATCCAGTGGCGTAGTGATTTTTTCAATAAAAAAATCGCTCATAAAAAATCCCTATTTTCGACTAAGAAAAAATATCGTATTAAAATCGATTCACAACTTCAAATTTTGGGGGGGTGTTTCCATTAAAAATGGGTCACACTGTATATATAGGTACATAGATAAGTTCCATCCAAACAACAACTTACTTTTGTTACTCCAATCTTTTTATTCTATTTTAGTAATACGTTCACAGAACGTTTTTTACACTCCTGAAATGTCAATATCATGTAGTTGACCCACTGAGGATCCTTCTAGATTTCCAGGGTAGCTGGAAAATACTAGAAATACAAATTGTTCATTTTGAAACATTTATTCGTGTCTCCAAATTATTATTTTATTCTTCCTTCTTTTTTTGGCAATATTTTTCTGAGATTTGAAATTCCTATTTATATATTTTAATGTATTAAATAATCTTACTCTACTATATAACTTCAAAAGGTGAGATATTGAGAAATTTTCACATGGATGGTTTTATTTAAATTATTCAAACAATGATACAAATCCTACAATGACATTTGTTTCTACAATAAGATTCTCAAAATTGCTTTGGAAGTTTACTTCCAAGGAGGAAATAAAATAAACAAATTCATTTTTGGTCATCCTCAGGTTACCGAGTGTGTCAAGAATTCTATTTTGAAATGCTCTGAAATAACAATACAGAGATTCATCAGGTATTTAATTCGGAAACATGAAAAAACTTATTTTGGATTTTGAACTGTTACTTTTACAACTATTTACAGCACAAACGTATCCAACACCTATTAGTTTTTCCATTATGTTAAAAGTTAAAATTCACGATACGCACAGAACACAGGTAACATATATGTCCTAACAAGAGCAAAGACAAAAGCAGAATGAGAAAATCTGTCACTTCCCAAAATGGCGGACTCATCAACGCAACGGATATGCGCGAACTTCTCCCGCCAAGCGAAGTGACATTGATGATTGTTACATATGCTGTGATCGGATTCTCTTGTACATTCTTACAGACAGCGACGATGTTTTCGGCAGATCTTCCGTTTCTTCGACGTACGGGCGTTGGTTGATCGTTTACTGAACCAGTGGACTAAAATGTATCCACCACATTACGAATAGTCCTCTTGGTAGTACGATTATGGCGACCGTGAAATGTAAGAGACGCCACCAAATTTAGTGGCGAAGCGCGCGGTACGTTGCCAAACAGAACATCCATTTTGATAAAACAAGTTTATTAGTTGCGCGTGTTGTTGAATGATATATATCCTTCCATGGTGATTTGGCAAAACAGACTGAATAAATGACAACTAATTTGACAGATGTAGGTTCAACAAGATGACCGTTATCAATTGTTCAATTGTTCTAATCTTCAGTCTTCTCCATTTTAACACCTATATGAACTATTATTCTAACCCTATCATTCTGAGATTGAGAATCTATTGATATTATCATCATTTATAAATTGACGGCAAATACCTAACACAAAATTCTGATTTTATTTTATTTTTCAGGCTTACTATTACTGGGGGATATTTATGTTCAGTTTTGGATTATCTATAATTTGGGTATTAGCTTTCGAAAGCCCAATGCTGGTTTTAGAAAAAAATTTATTCAAATAAATATGTTTCTAGAGAACCCGTTCAGTTATTTCACCCACAGCTGCAAAACGTCTTAATCAAAAGCGAACGCTGATGACGTGATTTCACTATAATATTTTTCAAAAAATCTGTTTAAAATCTGTGTTTCCATTAATCAGCTGTCGCCCCCATACGAACGACCACTCTCATAAGTTGAGAAACTTGTGCGAGCAAAGGACTAACGAGGTCTTACCTTTCAACGTGTGATTCCTAACACGGATTCCTAAACCAATGGATCTTGACGTATGCACTGTGGCTCTAAAAATAGCCCAACCTTCACAGAGGACCTGCGAATATAATAATAATAATAATAATAACATCTTTATTATTCTCAGATACATATTTGTTTTTACAATTGTTTAATCAATGTTGACTAAATTGAAAATAAATGCTAAAGTTCAACTCGGTAACAATAAAAACCACTTTGTTATTCTTCCACCTAACTCCTAAAAATATTTCTGTGAGCATAAATGAAAACCATAATGGCGAGGAAGAAATATTTATATATCTGTAAGTGGTTTTTGAAACTAAGAATAAAATTGAAGTATAAGACATATGTTACTTAAAACTATTGACAAATACTAAAACTGTAGATGGAACCAAAATGGAGAATCTCTGAGTTTTATTATTGAAGGTGAGTAAAGCTGGCAAAGAAAATGAGAAACACTGTGTTGTCCTTTTCTTATCTAGAACATGTGTCGAAACTCGCAGATTCAGCTAAAAGAATAGCAGCAAATGAAAAAAATACTATTAAAGAAGCAAATTTACTTTTGATTGTCTTTTGATTATTATGAAAAAAACTGCAAAAATAGTTTTAAACATATATGTGGAAGGGACATAGGGCGCCATCTTTCACAGTAAAGGTTAACTTATGATTACTGATTCGAATGAACACAAACAAAACTGTAAATGTGTAGTGACGTTGCAAGTTTGGTCTACGAGTTACGAGATGGAGGATGTTTCGTAATATGATGGCCACTAAACAAATGATTTTTAAGTTGTCATCTGAATTTCTAAATATTACCAATTTTGAAATCTAAGGAAATGTTTTTGTGAATTTTGCTGATTTGATAGATGATCGCCTAAAAGATCAGTTCTGAAAGAAGGTGGAGAGATTATTACTCTGTGGCGGAAATTAATATTATGAATATATACACGAAACGTTATTTTCAGGTGTAAACAGAAAGGTGTACAAGTTATCATACTAGAAGAAATAAAAGTCGGGCAAATTTCGTTTCAGTTATTCACATTTCTTTGCCCTGACTTTTCATTCCATTTTTCGTTAATAAATAAAAGATTCAATATCACTAGATTTGTCTATAAAAGGTAATAGTCCTTATAAGCCAAACCAATAAACTTTCAATTTTTGTGATATGTTCTTCAAACACAAAGAATACTTTCGAAAGGGTTTATATTTTCATGTGAAATAAAGATAGCTCAGTAAACCAAAATAATAATCTAGTGCCGAAATAAAAACTGAACAAATATCTTTTCCGTATATCACATCACCGTATAGCCCTGATTCATGATTCCGTTTTTTGAATTAAGTCGTAACATATTTGTCATTAACAGCAGATTCAACAGCACTAAATTCGTCTATGAATGGTAATAGTTCTTATTAGCCAAACCACCGTATAATGTTCACTTCTATACGGTGGCCAAACCAATAAACTTTCAATTTTCGTGATATGTTCTTCTAACACAAAGGATACTTCGAAAAGGTTTATATTTTCATGTAAAATAAAGATAGCCCGGCAAGCCAAAATAATAATCTAGTGCCGAAATAAAAACTGAGCAAATATCGTTTCTGTATATCACATTTCTTTGCCCTGACTCATGATTCCATTTTTCGAATTAAGTCGTAACATATTTGTCGTCAAAAAGCAAAAGATTCAACAGCACTAGATTTGTCTATGAATAGTAATAGTTCTTATTAGCTAAACCACCGCGCTTAAAGTGTTTACTTCTATGCGGTGGCCAAACCAATAAACTTTCAAATATAATGTATCCTTGTGTTCAGATATCGATTTCGGCTTTGAAACCATTTTCAAGATCTCAACAGTATGGTGTCAGATCTCAATCTGCCACGTCCCCCAATGGTATGATATCACTCGCTACAGACAGGGCGATATCAACTTTTTTCATATAGAAAGGGGGTCTTCTGATCCTTCGCTTGAAAGTTATTTCAATTCTCTATACAAATACTTTTACCGTTTTGAATTTGGTTAATCGGTTTCGAAGTGATTGATATATGAATTAGAGACTAAGAAGAATTGTAATTCGTAACTTTGCAACTGAAGAAGAATTGAAACGGCTCCAAAGAGTTATAACAGGTTACACAAAATTTGTAGGAGAAAGAAATTGTTCACGGAAATGAGTCTTATTCAGAATGAATTTGACAAAAAAGTTGACTATGTAGATAAAAATCCACACCGTGTTACTCCAGTAACAGAGTTGATGTTCCGAGTTGATTAGCCGTAGTCTCTTAGCCTTAGGTCAAGTTTTTCTTATTGGTTATTTCCTTTTAATAGGGAAATAATTACCTTCGCAAAAGATTATTTTCATACATTTGATACTGATAATGGTATCAAAGGGTTGAGATTTCCGTTCATTAGGACATTTACTATCAATTTTTTAAATCTCTTAGCTTCAGTGTTGACTAGTTTAGGTTAACCGTCAGATTTTATTTCATTACTGTAAAATTTTTATAAATTTTACAATATGCATCTAATAGACTGATTTGATTTATAAATAAAAGTTCAAAATATAATTTCATATTCCCCTAACAACCATAGCTCACTTCAGTATACCGGTAACGTAAAAAAAGCGACAAAGTACATCTGTGAAGGGTTTGCTGTCTACAGACACTAGAATAGAACCTCTTCCTCTTCATTATTTTTAGTTTCAGTGAAGTCAAAAGGTGGCTGAACTGATTCTGATTGACATATTTTGAAATGGATTTAATTTGAATGTTTTTTCGAATGTTTTTGCTTAAATAGATGGATTGTTTTTTGCGTGGTTCTTCAAAAATTCGTCAAATCAAGGTAAATATTCCAAAATATGTGATCTAATAGTCTCATTGACGAAGAGTTACCTTGTTCAAATAGAAAATATTTAATTTTAAATTTTATAAACAGTACTAACATACTATTTTGTTTTTCTGTTATAAAATGACTTCTGAATAGTTAACCCAATGTAATTGAATTGAATTTATTCTGTCAGAGAACAAACTGAATGAATTCATAATTGAAAGTAATTATTTAGTATTTTTTTTCATCCAGTTTGTATTTAAATGAAGAAAACTCTGTACATGGCCTACACATCATTTTAAAGTTTTTACTTTTTTTATTTTTTCCTTCGGAACTTTTGGACTTTCTATTTACTCAATGACAGAGAAGTAGTCGACCAAAAGGTTTTATTCCAATCTTCTACCATCTTAATTTGTAAAATAAAACTAAAACACCCCCTATACCTATATGGTCAATATTATGGATCAATATGCATTGATCAATATATTGAAGGTCTTATCAATAGGCTTCAATGTAGCTTAAATAAGCTCTAACAATACAATTTCTACTATTACTGTTGTTTGTGCTCAGAAAGTACGTGACCTGTTGTACAAATTTTTATTTTTATTACCTATTTTTCCATTTTGAGAGATTTAGCGTTCTTACTTTGACCAAGAAGAAAAGCAAGCTTGTAATTTTCTTCATTTTGTCTAAGCAAAGACTGGTTTGAAAAAAATCAATACATCATCGACTTTTTTCCATAGCTATAGAATCAAGATATTGACCGTCTATGAGCTACTTGAATCACAAATCATGAATTTTTATAAGGTAGCAAAAGGTGTCCCTTCATAGAGAATGAAGTTTTGAAGAATCTCTCATTTCTCAACAAACTTTGTTGCAGGCATAAATTGGTTGTAACTGTTTGTGTGAATTACTTTGGGGATCTTAAAATTCATATTCTCTATATTTTTATCATTTCTTTTCTTCAGAAAGAATACAAATCTTCGCAGTTGTTAATGTGTCCAATTATATCAAATGCAAGACTTTCAGCTAACGGAAAAATATATTCATGACATTGAGAAGCCTTGTTGAGTTCCTTCATGAAAGGCCTTCTATTTTTTTAGAACCCAACTGTTGTGGAGTATACACTTTAAATTTGTGATATCTTAAATATTTCTTCCTGTTGTGCAATTCTATATTGCTTGTTCGAATAACTTGAAAACAAATAAATCATTTTATATTCTTCAGGTTTACAATGGCAAGAGCTCTCCTCGAAAACGAAATCATCTACATGAGGTGTACCCTCTGCGATAACTTCTTATCCGTACCCCCCATCAAAATTCTTTCAGCTGACGGTAAAGAAAACCAGTGTGGGAGATGCAAAGACATCGAATATAAAGGATCAGTAAGAAATCTATGCTTCGAAAACCTCGCCAAACACCTCTCATTCCCTTGTATATACAAGAACTGCAATGAGAACATTCTTTGGACTGAAATTGAAGAACATGAAAAGACATGTCAGTATAAGAGCATACGTTGTCCTATTTATTACCAACATAAATGTCAGGAAGTAGTCGAGATTGCTCAATTCGAGAACCACATCAAAAAGAAACATCCCACCAATATTTTTTTTGGTAATGTGCTTAAGAGAGATATTGGAGTACTTTCCTCCACAGTCCATTACTTGAAGGCTGACACAGGGGATTTCATTATCTATATACTACAAGACCATATTTTTGTTGGTAGTTTAGGCCCTATCAAAAGGTACAACAAGTACAATGTACAAATATCTTCTCATTCCTCGACACAGATATCCCTTTCTTACAACGACCAAGATATAGTTGAGTTTGACGAGAGACTCCACTGCTATAAATGCAAGAGAGGATTGTGCAGTTCAAAACATCACTTACATTCCAGAGATAACCCAAAGACTACTGACAGAGATTCTCTAATTATCAACAAAAACACCATAATCGAATTATTTGGTAACCCTCAAAAAATCCTTCTGAGTGTTACACTAGTTGACGGAGATTTGCAAGACCTTCCTGAAGTTACCATGACTCGGAGTAGAGTTGACAGAGAACAAATACTGGATCGTAACAGTTTGGTGATTACTCGCTCTTTGGAGTGCATCATTTGCTTGGAATATTTGGTAGGTGATATCTACACTTGTGCATCGGGTCATCTTATGTGTCAACAGTGCAAGCAGAATCACAGAGACTGCCCTCTCTGCAAAGTTAGGCTAGGGGAGGCAAAGTGTCTACTTGCAAAAAGTTTTTCAAAGGACATCCAGCTTGTTTGTCAGACTGAAGGATGCAATTTCATTGGTAACCTGGAGAGGTTGGCTTTGCACGAAAAAAACTGCCCTGATCTATCAGGGAAACCTAAGGACGAAAAAAAAATTATGTAAAAAAGTAAGTATAACTTAATATTTATTAACAAAATTGTGGGTGTTCACATGCTGTGGAGTATTTGGAATGATGAACATTGAAATCAGCAATGATCCACTGATCATACTGAATATATTGCTACCTACGCCTCACTAATGTGCTGACTAAAAATGTAACAACCACCAGCTAGATATAACTTCCGTGTGACTTTTCGAGTGGTTAAAACACGTGGAACTTCACTATTTAGGAACTCTTTCATTTGCAGAATTGCGTTTATGTGGAATAGAATAGAATATCCTTTATTCACCATAAAAAAATACAATAGTATTATATGGTTTTGTCAAATATCATATACCATAAGAATACCATAAAAACACTAAATTAATAAATAAAAAATAAACAAATAAGGAAATGAGATGTGAACAATTTCAATATAAATGTCACTGTCTACGTAGATTGTAAATTCAAAATATTAGTTGGTGTTGAAGTCAAATGATAAGAATTCGTCAATACTATAAAAAGCGTTTTCCAGGCAGATATTCTTCATATAATTTGTAAACGAGGCTGTATTTAAGTTTTTTATATGTTTTGATAGTTTGTTAAATAAAATAGGACCATAATTTTTCGAAAAACGGCAGTGATTTAGTCTTGTGAATTCAATTTTAATCTGTTGTGATTGTCTGGTGTTATGTGAATGAAAATCGTTTTGATTCAGATATAAATAAGGATTTTTTTTGCATAACTTATACGCGAATAGACGTAAAGAGAAGGTAATGTAAACATTTTATTATTAATAAATGTTGTTTTAACGTCTTCTTGATAACCCAGTTTGAAAATAACTCGCAAAACTTATCTTTGCAGTCCAAACACTTTTTTTGCATGAGGCGAGTGTCCCAGAGTACTAAACCATAAGATATATGGAACATAAAAAGTGAATGATAAGCAGTGATAATGATTTCAATAGATGAGATGCCCATTAAACGTCTTATAACATAAATGCTCGTTGCCAATTTTTTGCAAATAAAATCTACATGTTTTTCCCAAGAGAGCTTTGGATCCATTTGGAATCCAAGAAATTTAATTGATTCATTTTGGTGTATAGACAGTTGTTTGTGTGTAAAAAAGTAATGTTGCGTTTTATTAGTATTCAATTTTAATTTATTATTTGTCAGCTATCTATTAGCATTCGATTCTGCTACTTTCATTTCATTAACTATAGCCTCGTAATTTGGAGCAATAATGATGTGTCGTCAGCAAATTGCGTAATCTCAGAGTCATCTTCAGTTTTGAAATCAATCACATAAATCAAGTATATTTCTTTCATATTTCTTTGGTATCAGATGCCTTATTATTCAAAAACACGTATTGTCTATGTTCCGATATATATGATCTAACAAGGTTAATTGAGTTTTCCTCAAATTTGAACCTCTCCAATTTTTTAAGCAGAATTTCATGTGTCACACAATTGAATGCCGCCTGAAGATCGCAGAACACTGTTCCTGTGTGGACAATTTCTGAAATCCCATGACGATTTTATCTACCAGCTGCTTACACCACCCAGACTAAACGTTTGGTCCTAAGGACAAGTTCCTTTAGACCAGGGCCTATCAACCCTGATTTTGTTTTTTCTTTCCCTGAACCCTTGAAAAGCCACATGAAGTAGGAACTTCGATTGTGTCACTAAAATAAACTAACTAGATAGAAACAAGAGAAAATTGGCTAAAACTCTCATGCGAGGAACTCAACATTTGTTTTGGTATATAAAATGTTTTTACTAGGATTAGGTACTCTTAGCTAGTGGAATTATATTCTCATGTGTAAACTGATAATTATATACATTCCATTCTTCACATAATAATTACTTCTTGATGGTATGTACATAAGTACATGTAACATAATATCTGAGATTTTTTATGAATTCTTTACAATCGTTTCCTAACCTTTCTAAGTAATTTTTACTAAAAGTTTGACCGTTGACACTTTGACAGCTCCATCCACATCAGTGTTGCCAATGTTAATTGCATTAAATACTCCAAGACTTGGAACAAAATACATTATTCCATAATGTAAATGATTAACGAAAATCCGCGCACAGCCTACTCTGACCCAAAGACTTTGAAAAATTGTTATGTTAAGTGATACAATTATTGATAATAAATGTATATATATTTTATGGAATGAACAGATAACATAAAATAACGGAAGAATGAGTAGGAATTCTTGTGAAAATATTAAAGTTTACTTTGTAGATTATATCAAAATAAAATAAGTACCCTATACAAAATTTAAAAATATACAAAAGTAACACACTCGTAAATCATCACAACGAAATATTAAAAATCTATTTTATTGTTAAAACCACTGAAAACAACCAGTTAGTTCGTTTTGTTGTGAGTGATGAAGATACGTACGATCTGGATCATATCAAAATAAGCAGGGGGTTCATTTGAAAACTTCTCACCTCGCATATATCGAAATCTGAATAATTGAGAAAGAAAGGAAAAGATGTGTATTCTAAAATGGAGTTAAGTTCAAATAAATATTAAAGTGAAAGACGTCTTGAGAGGACTGGCGACTCCCTACGCCAGTAACCATGCTGGATGTCAACGAGGTCGTCAGTTCGACAATAGATGGGTATATTTCATCCGAAGGGCTCCCGAAAAGGTGGCGACACGTAAAAAATGTAAGTGTGTTTTTTTTAAGACAAAGTGAATGAAAAACTTAAGGTGGCAGTATTGCCTCGTGTAAGACAGCTGCGCCCTCGAACGAAGCTTCTATTCACTATGGACAAGAGGAGTCTGATAAATTGAGGTTATGTTGATCCGCTTCAATATTTCAATGTGATATCTAAAACACTGAATATTCTTGATTGAAAGAGTTTTATGTCTGAATATGAAAAGACGCGGAGTCCTTTTTCACTATTATTGTATTTGCCACTTACCTTTTGCATCAAAACAACAATCCCAAATAATTTTTAAACGGATAACACAAACTCAGTAAAACCACAGAACACTAAGTAATGCGAAACCACAGAATCTATCTATTTGTCAAATTTTCTACTTTTGGTACAAATAAAACTTCGGTTAAAATTCAACTCACTCTTTACTATTTTGTGAGTCCCGAATGTGAACCGTTATGTGAATAGTATATACTGCACTGAGACGAAAAAAATGCGAATCAACAGATGATTAATTTGTGATTCACATTTGGGCGTCTTTGATACATCAAATAGCATCACAGATTCAGGTCTATTTGTGCCTTGCTGTAGCAAAAAAGTGAAGAGAGATGACGCGTTTAATCAAATTCAATATCCCTTTACGGTAACAGTGATGTATATAAGAACTTCACATTTCAATAGATTCAAAGACAAGAAAGTAACATCGCATAGATGTTTGTGTTAACTGGGTAATTTAGTTTTTAATGAATTACTACAATATTCCAACAATGAAAAGACTTGACACAAAAAAATTATATCTCTCATTTGGAAAATAATTAATTATTAGGGGCCTCCACTCCTCCGTTACTCCAGGGCCTCCAGACTTCCAAATCCGGCCCTGCTCTCATGTATCCAACTCTATAGAATGGTTTGTTTAATAAGCACGAATGTCCGCAATAATTCATTGGTATTATATAAATTTATCATTTTGTTTTTTCTTCAACAGGAAGAAGAATGGAAAAAATAAATTGCTTTTAAGTTGGATGCTTGACGATAGTTTTCTCTTTTCCTCAAATACAGAAGACTGAAGCAGGTGATAAGCTTGTATGTGATATTTAAAAGGACCTTTTATATGTGTAATTGTTTTTATTCGTTTACGTGAAGTTGACAATATTGTTGATGGCAGAATAATTTAGCTTCTTGTTCTAATAATTATTATTTTCACATCATTTTTTTCACTACAGACATTCAACATCATTGTGTTGCAATATTCAAAAAAATTATTTCATAAAAACCTGCCCGATTATGTTTTTTTGTTAAAAAATCATTGTTTATTCAATGGTTTGTTAATACATCTAAGCTATGAAATTAATGATGATAAAAATATAAATAATTCATAACTGTATTTATCCAAAAGCTAACATAATATCGGTGTACACAAAAATTTTAATTTTGAAGAAGCTATACATAAGCTGCCATCCCATACAATGTATTTTTTAGTATGCAGTTTGAGTTCAAATTGGCACTACCTTATTTGTTCTTATAAATAACTTGAAAATAATATGAATTGAAATCCATTCAAGAATGTTTTGCTCAGTAGTTTTTACTGTTAAAATGATCAACTTTTATATACATTTATTTTTATTAAACCCGAAAAGATTGGAAATCTATCTGTCTCTATTCAATGCAATAATTGAAACCTTGTAATGGGTGAGTTACTATATATTCAAACGGTTCACTCCGTCTGAAATGACCCTCCCGGTACTGACGAGAAGCTAGTAATCCGAAACCGGTTTATCAGTGGTCGTTCCGACCAAATGAAATCAATTTCAGCTACTTGCGACGAATCTTCCAAATGGAAGACGTTGCACACATGTGCCTGATGGTTTTACTCCAGTTTTCTGCGCGGCATCAGCTGAATTAGTTGTTGTTTTTTCGTCAAAAATCTGCCACACGTAGGTATCTACAAAATCGTAGGTTCACATGAGAGGCAAGGGTGAGGTGTTCTCACCTGAACCTGAACATATCACATGCACCTCACCGGAATATGTTCATCATTCTGACTCCCACACCGGAGTATGCGTTTGTGGAGTTGGTTCCGGACTTCGCCTGTAGGTGACGCACTGGTACATCTTAATAAATCAACTGCAGGCAGAGCTTATGACTAGTTGGAATTGTTACCAATTACTTCCAAAATCTCTAGATGAACTGGTGATAGGAAGCAACATTCCGACAACTGCTGCTGGTGACTTTAACGCCAAGTACAGACTATGGAGCAGAGCCACAAATCAAAATGGCCAAGCGCTCTATGCGCATGTCGACAGCCATGAATATCTCGTGCTGGGACCGGATGAACCTACGTACTATCGCGGGCAGACTAGGCCTGACGTACTAGACATCGCGCTTCTCAGAAACGTCTTTCTGACTAGCGAAATTTTCGTTCTGTCGAAATTGGATTCTGATGCGAACCCTTTTCCCAGGAGACAAAAATGCGGCAGGCAGTATGGCCAACCTAGTTGAACAGGCCATCATTGATCACCGAAACGAAAGGTGGGAGGAGCTCTTGGAAACCCTAGAGCCTGGGAGGACGAGCTTTGGCGAGTCACCCGCAGACTCAGAGGGAAGAAGACTGCTCCCTCACCCATTCACGGAGAGCGCGGAGTGTGCTACTCCCCCTCCGACAAAGCGTTGGCCTTTGCCGACACGATAAAATCTCAGTTTCAGCTTAACGTTGAGGACAATGACTACATCGACCGCGATATTCTGTTGGAAGATTGGATTCACCGTATTCTCAGGGTAGATGACGACGATAGCATCCGTCCGGCTTCTGTGGAAGAGCTTAAGGGTTACATCAGGGCCGCAAAGGCAAAGAAAGGAAAGTCCAAGAGAACACTCTACTGAGTTGCAGGCTCTGAGACTGGTCGAAAAACACCATCGCGGAACTGAACCAAAACAAAAAAGTCCATGCCGTTTTATTAGACATCTCGAAGGCCTTCGACCGTGTATGGCACGACGGGCTTCTGCATAAACCTATCTCGTTCGACCTGGCTCGGGGCTTGAGGGCCTCATTCGACACTCAGTCGAATGAGGCCCTCATAACCTTCACCAACAGGAGAATAATTTTCTCTTCCAACACCCCAGCCAGGTAGGGGTACTCCCTGATGGGTGGTACGTTTGTCCGAGGACTTTATCTGCGTCATCACCACAGTCATAAACCCCAGTGAGTTGTGTCTATTTCTGTCCTCATGACAAACGTACCGGTCCGAAGAGTAAGAGAGCTAGGCTCCTTCCTGAATCAAATTAAGATGCTATCGTGCATTCGGCATTCGCCGTTTCAGAAAAAGCGCGAAATCTGCTACTACTCCGCCGATTAAGCTTCGGTCTTTGCCGATACAATTGTGTGCCAGTTTCAGATTAACGTTAGCACGGATGATGGAAAACCGAGTTCAGCGTATACTCAGGGAAAATGACGACAATATCCGTCCGCCTTCAGAGAAAAAACTCAAGAAGAATATCAAGGCCTTCAAGCCTAAGAAGACTCCGGGGGTCGACTCAATCACCAACAGGTTGTTGAAGCCGCTCCCTGAGAACCTAATTTGTTCCCTGTTCAACATAATTAATAGCTCTATCACCTTCAGGTATTTCCCCGGCAGATGAAAGCACGCAGTGGTTAACATGATCCCGAAACAGGACCAACACCCGCTGCTCCCCATATAAACACCGTCCGATTAGCCTGCAGTGCTCAATGCCTGAGCTGGCTGAACGTATTGTGCAGCAAAGGCTAACAGAAGTTGAGGAGCGAAATGTTCTGCCTGACGAACAATTCGGCTTTAGAGGAAATTCCACCCAATTCCAGGCCCTGGAATTGGGCCATTGGAAATTCTATGGTCCGATCATAATAATGCTCGTGTGATGCACTGTTTGGAACCTTCGATGTAGCAATGAATATTACTGGGGTTTTTCCCAACACCAAACCGTTATTTTAAAACCTGGACACGTTTTCAAGAGGAAGATCAAACCCGATGATCACTTGGTGGTGGAAACGCGTGTCCAGGTGTTAAAGTAACAGTTTGGTGTTGGGATAAAACTCCAGTAATATTAATTGATGATCTTATTGATACTTTTGCAGGACAGAAATCTCGCAGAAAAGAATTTTATTAATATATATCTGGTTAACACAAAAGTAACATTAAACTATTCAACTAAAATGGACACAATATTTCTGTCGGGTAACTATCCCAGTAATTTATTAAAATCAAATAACAATGTGACAATTTTTCTTGGAGCCCCATCCAATGAATTATTCACAGGCCTCAGGCGGTGAAGTTACCCCACTGTCGATAATCTACCTTGTAGGAGCAATCGCAAGAAGATGGCAATTGAAACGTGTCTTGTTCAAGAACACCGTAGGAATTCAATGACAGCAAATGCCTGTTTATATATTTTTGTTTGCAAGTGGTGATGAAGCCATTTGGAGCGCCAACCATGTCACATGGTTCATTTTTCCTGCGAAATAAAAAAGAATATTCAAGCAATATTAATAGTGACAAACTAGTCGAGAAGGTTATCTTTTCCTATAGGATAACCTCTATAATAATTTTATAAACTACACCTTACAATTTGCTTTAATTTTCAAAACATATCACATGTTTCGCTATTGCAGTAGCTTCTATCGTAGTGAATAACAATACTGAAAGTAAGAGCCGAATCAACCAGAAAACCTATCATAATCAAGAATATAATGTTTTAACAAATGCCCTAAAAAAAATTACACCGGCCGCCACTGGTAGCCATACACCAATGGTGACGTAGCGCATTCGATTACGATATATAAACGCTAGCCCCGAGCATATCGACACAGTTAAGTGGAAGTTACAGTGCGGTACGCGAAGCGATCTAGTAAGGCGACAGACATTCGAATAATAGTTGAAGTTTAAGTTGAAGTGTTTATTGTATTTATAGTGAAATAAAGTTGAGTTTGATTATCCAGTGTAGTCAAATATTGGTCAACCCACGGGAAAAAACGTAACAAAGTGGAATAATTGACTGAAAATTTACTGTTTTATAGTGAAAACAAGAAGTGTCGAAGGAAGATGGACGAAGAAGAGAGGAAGAACGATTACGCCGAATCGAAGATCGTGAATTACTACTATATATTCTGGAAAAACAAGCAAGAAACAGAAAGCAATGTCGTAAATTATTGACAAATATTCAGAAGAAACACGAAAAACATAATAAGATGTACCTTCATTTCTTTGAAGTTTTGAAATCTTCCCAAGAGAAACACTAACACAAAGAATATTACCCGGTGTAACACAAGTACAGGCAAGTTTAAAGAGACATCCAGATGAAAGGAGGTGACAAATACATGCACTAAGGCATTTTACCCGTATTAAAGAACAAACAAGAAGATAAAACGTTCAGTTTGAGTAGAGCCATGAAAATGGTAGCACAGTATGCTATCGAAATCGCTCGCATATAATAATTAGAACTTAATCGAGGAAGGTTCATGAATTCAAGCTGCAGGAAAATAAATCCATGAAAATCAAAAAATTAATAGATAAGTACTATTCTGATCACTCCCATATTGATTTCAATTTAAGAGCTACCGGTAGACAGCTGTTTCGGCCTATTGGACATCGTCAGTACCGGGCAGGCGGTCCTTGATTGAAGACAAAATATGAATAACCAAGAAAAGTACTTAACAGAAATAGCTGCGTAAACGCAAGCGAGACATAAGGGGAACCACCTATTGGTTTGACATCCAAGTTAATGGATTATATAGCTTACTTGCGACAGATTTCCACTTGAACACCCTGTGCGTATCCTTGCTCTTTCTGATTCACAATGTATTTCCATTTGTATTTTCTGTTAATCGCAACTTTCGGATATATCGTAGATTTTACCGAAGGACAAACAAATTTATCATCGGGGTCGTCCCTGGCCCCAAATTCATCTTGAAGTTCGTCCACTCCGAAGAATTCTTTGTTCACCTTATGCTTCTCCAATATTTCTTTTACTTTTTCACTTGGATACGGATCAAAGTTCTCGCAGAAGGTGGATCCTTTTGCACATGGCGGAGTACCGTCTATATTGGGTAGGATGAGACCAGGTTCGTCTTCGTCGGATTCGGGGAAGAGAACATCTGTAACCCAATTTAAAATTCAATATTCAATAGAAGTTGATATGTAGAATCGGAACCTCTGGCGTAAAATGAATCTGTCAAAAATACTTTCCCCACATCGAAAAACTAATTATTAAGTTTAATAATCCTAAGATTTGCCTACGCCCATGGACGACAACGAAATTCAGGCAAATTTTATGACACTTCATGATTTATTACTCTACACTCTATAGAAATAGACTATAACAGTTTCGGCTGTTTAGTATGTTTGTTTGTTGGTGAGAGACAGAAAATTTTGTGTGAAAAATGGAATTAAGTGCTCAAAAACAGTCGAACTGTTTACAGTGGCATACGGTGAGTATACTCCGAGTCAGAAAAATGTTTACAAGTGGTACAAGCTTTTCACAGAAGGTCAAGAAGATGTGAATGTAGAGCCCTGGACGGCCCAGCACATCAACGACCGATAAAAATATTGAGAAATTAAAGAAAATTGTTGTGGAAACTTTGGGTATAGCGTTTGGTCGGCGCACGATCTAAAGGGGGTAAACCGGGCAATTGCCCGGGGCGGCAAAAATGAGGGGCGGCAAAATTGAGGAAGGCGCGGCGTCGTGGGCGAAAATCTGAAAGATGGTTGAACAAAAAAAACTACATCCTACACAAAGTTGTTAGAATATGATATATTACTATTGACATCACTGAAATTTCACATCATATTTTAGTAGATTACAAAAATAAAACGTGGTCATACTGCGTCTTTCAAGCTGTGCTGGATTTGAATAAATATCTTAAAACGAAACTTATTTTGTTTCGTTAATATCGGCAGGGAAAATTTGTCTTTTTATAGGTTAAAATTACACCATCTATGGAATAACGCATGGGTAAAAGGCGGCAAATATTATTTTGCCCGGAGCGGCGAAATAGCTGGATCGGGCGCTGGATCGTTCAGGAATTGTTGAATAACATCAACGGCGATCCAAATTTGCTTAAAAGGGTCATAACTGGTAACGAGTCATGAGCAGGTGCCTAAATTTTATGCCTCTCACCAACAAACTAAACATGCTAAACAGCTGAAACTGTGAACATATGTTCGAGACGACTGTACCAACATAAAAAAATCACTAATCGATTTACGTAGTCTGCGAAATTTGAACATCCGCTTTATGTTTTTAACAGACTTCGTATTTTAGAACTAACAAATAATCGAAGAAACACTTGTATGAATATATAATAATCGAATGTGCACCTGTTTGAATATACCATTGATCGATATTTATAAACATACAGTGCATTCCTTTAATGCCCTCCCTTTGAACGGGTCAACTTGAAAAATTCAAATTTGGGATAATGAAACTAATGCAAGAATGCATGAATATTTTGAAGTGAAATTGACAGATAAAACTTTGGAATGGCGACTGGGTGCCATCTTGGAAAAAAAATAAATGGAAATGGGGGTCTTGTTCACATCATTTTAAAGCTCCTGACGAATACTTCACAACCTTAGAATATGAAGTCAATATCTTCACCTACTACAAAATGACGGAACATTTAATAATTTCCTGAAGACAAACACTTTAATATTGATATTTCTAGAAATATTCATTTTTATCTGCCATATGGCAATTCCAACAACCCGATAAGGTTTGTAAAGTTCTTTTTTGTTTATATTTTATTGAATAGGCTTTGAATCGTTGATAAACTGTTCAGTATGAAACGATAATGAATGAAACTATTAAAGTAGAATTCCATAATAGTATGCACTGGATTCTCAAAAATATGATTGCATTAAAACGAAAACATTGTTGACAAGGTTGCGATTCTATATATTTTATCATCATTTTTCCTCATCCGTTCAGTACGTCACTGCAAAAGACACATTGAGGCAAAAACATCAGTTATTTCTGAGAATTTAGTGCCTACTATTTTGGAATTATAGTATCTAATATCTGAAAGAAATATTTTTTTTATATACTCACCTACTACTGCTGTGGAATTCAATATTGGAACCTGAAAATCAATAGAATATGAATATTATGACTAGATATTATATAAACTTCATTAAGGATAACTTAATATGAATACCTTATACCTTATAAAATTATGACCAATATGACCCCCTCAATCAACTTTGGTAATATCATCACACCAAACACAATTTCTCCCAGTATTATTGGAATCTGCGTCACCAATGTATGAATTTATATGTTGAAAAATATCAAAATTTTACCTTTGTATATTCAAATCAAAACTATGTGAGTAGGTAAAATAAGAATGTATATATGTGAAATGTAAAAGTTTTCGAATTAAAGTTAACCTAACCAAAACAGAGTCATTCACACATGCAATTATAACATTTTGAAGTTTTTTTATTTTACAAATATAAAATATCCCTCCGATTATCAACTAAACCAACCGCCACTGTTTTATGGTCCAACTCACTTCAAATGTAAACAAACTCTCCATAACCCCTCATTACCCGCCATCCTCCTCGCCCATGAATTGTACAGAAAAGGATAGTATGATACCTGCTTCAAAATACATGTATTGGTATAGACATGGCAACTCTATGTCTTATTATTACTCTGAGATCTCATCGCATTTGCACCAAAACTGTTCTAATTGTTCCATGGTTTCTGCATGGACTAACATATTTCAAAGTTTCAAACTGAATTCCATGACAGATGCCACTATCATTTTTCTTCTCTCTCTTCTTGTTACCAAGCACATGGTCTTAAACCGGTAAATTATATTTTGAACACTTTCGGACGTTTCATTAAGATTATTCATGTGATAATTGTGCCTTAGTGTTGAATCAAATTATTTCAACTCAGTGCCTTGTCTTATAGTACTGACATAAACCGACCTCAACAGTAAGTTTTTGACTTTGTCTTGTGAATTTCAAAATTCAATTTTAGTGCTATCATTATAACTTCTTGTAGATTTTTCCTGAGGATGATAATATATTTTATGGAAACATTGGAATAACTTGTCATATAATGTATGGGGCGACAGCTGATTATCGGAAAACCAGATTTTAAAACAGATAATAAGAGTACACTTCCGTTCTGCTAGACACCCAAAGATACTTTTCCGTGTGTCTGTGTATGTGTATATAAACTCACTCGGTTTTTGCAATAACCTATTTGCTTCTAAGAAAATGTAAGGATCAATTGATGACTGAAATTAATAGAAATATTGACCAATGGCACCATAGTGCGATAACGTCAGAACTACCCCACCACTCTACAATTTTTGAAACGAAAGTGCATCCCAGCTTTACTAGTCTACAGGCATCTTAACATATCTATATTCCCCATATTCAACTTAGTAAAAAACTCACCGTGCAAAGTATTGTTAAAATACAGAAATGATGAACGATAAACATCGTCACAAAAAAAATCTACCAAACAGATGCAAAATCACAACGAATTTCTTCACAACTATATATGAAAGCACAATACTACAGACATACTTTGGAAATTCTTGATTCTCAGAATCCTCGACAGGTAAGTTCCGACCACAGATCACAAGTCCGACGGAATTTTGAATAGTACGGTTACCAACCTTAAAATTGTACAATAATAGAGACTTTTGGAAAAGAAAAGTTTTTGGCTTTCTATCCATCTTGATATAAAAAAATGTGGGAATCTTTCAAAGAAAGTAAGGAAGCAATTTCAAAAGAAGTAACTATATGAAAATTGAATACTCCTAAAAATATAATCCTTTCAAATTGAAAGAGACTTTTTTCAAATCGAGGGATAACCCCCTGAGGGTTATGATCGACAATTTCATAGAAATGCAATTCTGGAGAAACGATTTCGGAACGATTTGTTCAAATTTTTGTTGAAAATGGTTCGACAACGATCGCTTCGAGTCATACTTTTAATAGATGAAGCATAGGTTCAGTTGGATAGTTCGAACCACAGTTACAGACATTGATTACTCTCCTATGTCAAAGGACGAGGCTTTAGATGCAGATCAAAGTGCATTCGAAAATGGAATATGAAGTTAAGAGATATTGTATAAAGTTGAAATTTTGTGAGGACAAATTAAATCTGAAGAAATGAACGTTGAATATTCAATTTTAGAACATATGAGGTTATTCAGGACACTCATATTTTAGTGAAAAATGAACGCGCGTCGAGTAGACTATTGCAGTTCTGATGCCGAAGTAACATGCTAGTTTTGGACTTTGGATTTTTCGCCATAGATTCTAGTTCCACCTTTCACGTAAATATGTTCATCCGTTTTTTTTTTAATTTGAACACAAAATTAGTGAGAAACATTATTCTTTTTATCGTATCATGTTTATCCCACGATTGGGAAAAACAAACCAAGGTTTGAACCTTAGATTGATGATAAAGGATATATTAGATACTTCAAGATAAAAACTAATTGAATATATTTCGTTTTATGTTATAATCTGGTCAAGTCCGCCTCCGAAAAATATGAACGAAAAGTCATCTGATTCGGAATAGCGCGAATAGCGGAATTCCACAAGCGAAATTCGTTAGTCTGTTAGGCCAAAAGCAGTAAATTCCATAAAATATTTTAGACATTACAACGTTGCTGAATATCTAGGCACCTCACGGCGCATGCAGAAACATCTCTCTACGATTCGATCATGCGTACTGTGGTTCATTATCAAAAAGTTGGGACAGTGCACTACTGGGTCTTTTAGATTCTACTGTGGGCACCGAATGTTAGGGGTTACCAAGAGCCGCTCACTTCACATATAGCCAGCTTCACTGTAATGATCCACACGAAAAGGGCGCCTGCACATGTAAAAACGGAGTAGGTGCGTATCGGGTTCTGAAAAAATTGTAAAACATCGTGGGCGAGCGCACGTATATTTTCGAATATGAATGTGTTATTCGGATTATGAATGTCTAATTGACGTTCCTCTCCTGGTCAGCAAATTATTCACTCTTTCTAATACAAAAGGTTATAAACCTAACACTAAAACACATACATTTTCTTTTGATCCCAAATAAACTGTTTTACTCTCGTAATCATTTCGAAAAAACTGTTCGTTTTTGAGTTACGAGCGATTTTATATCAAAATTTGTAACCGACCTATACTGAAGTTCTTTGATTATTTTAAAATCCAAATCACTCATCAAGAGTTATATTTTCATATAAAACTCAAACAATTTTCAGATTCAATACGTATCTATGGACCACAGACGGATCCTTGTTGACGGTTGCTGTTTGTCACTCGACAAAAAATTTTTCTTGTAGTTTAGAACACTCATTAAGAAAAACATGTAGTGTATAATGCATCAGATGATTATTTTTCTTTTTCTGCACAGGAAAAAATTGATATTTCAACTCTTTGTTACAATCCACACAAGCACTTTTCCCAAACATCAGCACTGTAACACTCTTCTCGACGCACGTCCCATCAACCAAGTTGGCGTTTTCAAGTGATAAAGTAAACTGTGTATTTCATTATTCTACGCCAGATGTTTCAGTTCCCTCTTTTATTCTTCATCTTTGTTCAATACTGCAACGTTGTTAAAAAAAACTGAGATTTTCATTCGAATTTGAATTCATCTCGCAAATTATCCTATAGTTGAACACATTTTGCAAATAATGCTGAAACAATGCTGCAAGAATTGATTAAGATAAATTTTTGAAAGTATAGATACTCAATACTGAAAGGTACCCTCACATATGGCGATATAAATACCTGATCTTGATTAACATCAGTATTGATTTACTTTTAATAAACTTAAAAATTCAAACATTTTACTGAATGGCCAATTGGATTCAAGGAGATTACTGAACGTGTTTTCTTAAAAGCCAACATTGTATTATTGATGTAGAATTGATATATGCTCTATCTATAGGTAATCATAATTTGACATTGGATTCATTGTTGATAATAATCTCAATTTTCACAAGCATGCCCAGTACATCAAAAATAAAATATAAAAAAAAAAAATTTTTCAAGAAAAATCAGCTGTTTGAGCTCCAACAAAGTAGTTTGTACTGGTTTTTTTTTTATGTCAGTCTTTTTGTGGTGTCTATAGAACACCGAATTTATTTCATGTAGTGTGCAAAGAATAGGCTATACCTATTCAACTTTCATGTTCATCATGACACGAATTGATAGAAACATTAGGTAAATAAAACGGGGTGAATAGGAACAAAACAAATGACGCTAATCATCTTCAAAAAATATATATCCGAAACTACTCGATATATTAGAATTTTGCATACAACTACGTTAATGGGACATATTAAAGTATGTCTGGGCCAATTTGTTAGTTTGTAAATTGGTTTTTTCTTAACTTAGCACATACAGTTTATTCAACGACACATACGTTATACGATCTCTCTCTCTCTCTCTCTCTCTAATTTTGGACGTTGCTTCCCACTCGAGCGCATTTGTCCAGGCTCCTCCTGTCAAAGTTGACAGATGACAGGAGCTTCGTCGGGTGGGGGAGCAGCGGCCTAACTCGAAGCAATGCTGCCACCCCTTTTTTGTCGAACTTTTTTTGCGATAAAAACAATTCAAATTTAGATTCCTATACCTAATAGACTTCCACAAATAATAAAAAATGCTAGGACAGTAACAATGTTTGAACACAAACTGATTGAATATATCAGAAATCAACCCAATGTTGTTTATTAGGCATACAGTATCAGTGATTAGTTTTATATTCATGTGAATTCGTTTTTCTTCTTGATTAATGTAATTCTTCTATATGTAATGACTGTACTATTATGAGTGTTAGTTTTATAGTTATAAAGCAATTTTAAATCTTGAGTGAATGTATTTTGAATAGGTTAAATGTTTTTTTTTAAATAGTGTATATTAGAAATTTATATTTAAATAAACTACTACTACTTCAATCAGTTATAAAGAGGTCTAGTGAATTCTCTACCTAACTGTTTTATCATTTGTATGCTTCGAGGGAAATCAGAAAATGAAAAACGGTTTACCTTATGATTATTTATTATCCGAGTTATACTTTGTACATAGTCTTAACATCACTAAAGTATTATTTTAGTATTTTCTCACTTTTCAAGGGGCAAAGATAGCTTTTCACAATCAATGTGAAAATCCATCAGTACAGAAAATTTTCACTTCTGAAAATATCTTTGTGGGTCCTAAATTATCGATTCAATATAATATTTTGAAGGTCGCTTATATAAACTGTTCAAGTGGCAAAATATGAGTCGTAAAGAAAATGCACTTAATTATTCTTACATTGAAACTCCACTTTGAGGTCTCTAAACAATACTTGTAACAAATTGAACACAATTTTTAGTCAGAGCAAAATATGTATCATACCTTCAAAGTAAACTTACAGGTTAGACACACATTCTGGTCGTCTATCACACAATTTTGGCTCTTCTGAAACCGATTAATCACCTCTAATATGAAGACCGAATGATCTGTCCACTACAATTTATATGTTTACTCATACGTAGTCATCCAAAACAACACTCACAATTTGTTTCTCGAAAATTTTCAGGTGATGTATTGCGTTTTGGCTGAAATTTTCGACAACTTTCAAAATCTGTTGCAATAAAATGTTGAACCAAAATGGGGAAGATACATCTCAACTGTTGTATTTGGAAGGGGTGACATTTTTGTGACTCGTCTCGTTACCAAAGAGTCAAATAATTAAGAACTCCAGCGAGAGTAAAATCTTTAAATTTGATCATCACTCATGTACAAGATGTTTATCTAATGTAGCAAATAGTAAATTTTGGAACAGCAGCTTCCTATTTTCGAAAATAATATGTATATCCTCCAATGCACAGTAATTGTTGAATGAAAGTCATTTTTTGTGGAAGAAAATCAGATTTTTATCGACTTTCTGTGGGTATTTTCACCTTCCACAATTTGAAAAATATGAAAATATTAATGGAGAACTTTATACCGACACCTTTCAAAACTAACATTGCATCTTACATACCGGGGCTATCTGAAAAGATAATACGAATTGGAAATAAGATATGATGTTGGAATTTCGTACAAAACAAAAAAACACCGAGATCTATTCTCACAAACAAATACCAACAAGAGAGAAGGAAAAAAAAAGGAATAAGGTATCTTGTTTTTGTGGTAAAAGTTGTATGAAACTCCGAGGCCATTAAATATGCTTGAGAATGAACATCGAGATTATATCAGAAATAGACAATCAACAGGATCAAAATTGTTAGAACACACTTCGAAATCAGACGGTGAACATCGATTTGAATTGACATGGCGAGAATTGCCAATGAATCTAAGAGACGTAAACTTGAAGAATCTGTATTCTCATATCCGGAGAAAAGTCTATTTCGAACAGCTCCTTAAAAATGGATTGTACTTTGCTACCTGTTTCGAAGATAGGTGGCGAAATAGCAACAATATCAGAGAACTCCATCATCAAATGTTTTAGGACTCCAATCAACAACATTGACATAACTCACATTTCAAAAACTCCTTCGTCGTTTGACGAAGAAGTTGAAATAATCAGCAAAGAGCTGTGTATAGAGGGAGGGGCAGATTTTGGCCTCCAAAACGTAGGTCTTTTTTTTTGATAGGCAAAATTATTAAATACGAGTTACTTATAAATAGATCATTTTTCTTTGTGAAAAATACTTTGAATTTACGTATATAGTCTTATTCGGGTAAA